CAGAATCCCCTTTTCTGCTTTGACAACACCCGTGACCTCATCCTGATGCATTGCCGAAATTAAAGACCACAGCTTTTTGCTGATGCCCTCCGGTACAGGCTGGGCTAGGGAGGAGAGGGACTGGACCCTACTTCTACCTGGTTTAGCCTGGTTTAGCCTGGGCATCTTTCTGTGAAAGCCGGCACCTGGCCACATGCCTCCACAGCGACTTTCGCTTAAGCAATGCCCCACAGTCTATACAGTGCAAAAACTCACTGGATTTAACTGGGCAATTTGGCTGTTTAGCTGGGACTAAAGTTCCAATGCCGGCCTTTAAAACCTCAACATTGTGCTCACGGTTTCCACTATTCCTGATCAAATCAAACTGAAGTTTACGTGCTTTAGATTTCACAGGTAGAGCCAATGCTCTGGCTACGTCACTTTCATTTCCATGTTTTCTAGTCAAATGACGGGACATTTTGTGGCAGGACATTGAACAGTAGAGGCAGAAGTGTCTCTTGCTGTATACTCGCCCCCCATTTTTCTTCTTTTGCAGCTGCATGATAACAATCTTATTTGCCTTTGGTTCGTCACTTTCCGAGTCTTGAAGAAAAGTGTTTTTGATTTTTCTTTTTCCATACTTTTTTACAGGTTTCTTCTTGACAGTTAAATCGTCAGAATCTGAGTCGACTTCATCAATTAGGGACTCTTGACTAAGCTGCACAAACAACAAATAATTTGTAATCATTCTATATAACAATTTGAAGTCATGACTTGTAGTCAGCACTTACCAGTGGTTTGTAAGCGTGCGCTTCAGTGTGCTGCTCTGTGATTGGCTGCAGCCTAATGAACCACACACTTGCACCTTTTTTCTAGCCTGACACCTGATTTCCTCTGTTGTGCTGCTCCATGATTGGCTCCAGCCTGCTGGACTGAAATTGCCCCAGTGTGCCCCTCCTTGATATCCCGCAACCCACCACCAGGGTTCCGACACATAACACACTTTTTTCAGGAAAGTAAACCTCCAGGGGTCCTTTCCATATTTTTACAGAGACTGCATAAGGACCGTTAGAAAAGCATTACCCATTGATTATTAAGCTTGGACCAGTGGGGTCCGGTGTTCGGGCCCCACCACGTAAAACCAGTCCCCATGACGTGAGTGGAATCTCAGGTTATGGAACCCACCAGGAGTTGAAAACAAGTGCACCCACACACACACACACACACACACACACCCACACACACACACACACACACACACACACCCACACACACACACACACACACACACACACACACACACACAAACACAGACCACAAGTCTAAATCCGAGCAGATCGGGAGAAGTTGCTGATGTTGGCTGCTTTTGAACAGTTTGGAGACACCACACCTCTGCTGCTTTAAGATGTGTTCAAACACACACAGAGACCAGAGGGAGACCAGAGAGAGACCAGAGGGAGACCAGAGGGAGAGACCAGAGAGAGACCAGAGGGAGACCAGAGAGAGACCAGAGAGAGACCAGAGAGAGACCAGAGGGAGACCAGAGGGAGACCAGAGAGAGACCAGAGGGAGACCAGAGAGAGACCAGAGGGAGACCAGAGGGAGACCAGAGAGAGACCAGAGGGAGACCAGAGGGAGACCAGAGAGAGACCAGAGAGAGACCAGAGGGAGACCAGAGAGAGACCAGAGGGAGACCAGAGGGAGACCAGAGAGAGACCAGAGGGAGACCAGAGAGAGACCAGAGGGAGACCAGAGGGAGACCAGAGAGAGACCAGAGGGAGACCAGAGGGAGAGACCAGAGAGAGACCAGAGAGAAACCAGAGAGAGACCAGAGGGAGACCAGAGAGAGACCAGAGAGAGACCAGAGAGAGACCAGAGGGAGACCAGAGGGAGACCAGAGAGAGACCAGAGGGAGACCAGAGGGAGACCAGAGAGAGACCAGAGAGAGACCAGAGGGAGACCAGAGGGAGACCAGAGAGAGACCAGAGGGAGACCAGAGAGAGACCAGAGGGAGACCAGAGGGAGACCAGAGAGAGACCAGAGGGAGACCAGAGGGAGACCAGAGAGAGACCAGAGAGAGACCAGAGGGAGACCAGAGAGAGACCAGAGGGAGACCAGAGGGAGACCAGAGAGAGACCAGAGGGAGACCAGAGGGAGACCAGAGAGAGACCAGAGGGAGACCAGAGAGAGACCAGAGAGAGACCAGAGAGAGACCAGAGGGAGACCAGAGGGAGACCAGAGAGAGACCAGAGGGAGACCAGAGAGAGACCAGAGGGAGACCAGAGGGAGACCAGAGAGAGACCAGAGGGAGACCAGAGGGAGACCAGAGAGAGACCAGAGAGAGACCAGAGGGAGACCAGAGAGAGACCAGAGGGAGACCAGAGGGAGACCAGAGAGAGACCAGAGGGAGACCAGAGAGAGACCAGAGGGAGACCAGAGGGAGACCAGAGAGAGACCAGAGGGAGACCAGAGGGAGAGACCAGAGAGAGACCAGAGAGAAACCAGAGAGAGACCAGAGGGAGACCAGAGAGAGACCAGAGAGAGACCAGAGAGAGACCAGAGGGAGACCAGAGGGAGACCAGAGAGAGACCAGAGGGAGACCAGAGGGAGACCAGAGAGAGACCAGAGAGAGACCAGAGGGAGACCAGAGAGAGACCAGAGGGAGACCAGAGGGAGACCAGAGAGAGACCAGAGAGAGACCAGAGGGAGACCAGAGAGAGACCAGAGGGAGACCAGAGGGAGACCAGAGAGAGACCAGAGAGAGACCAGAGAGAGACCAGAGGGAGACCAGAGAGAGACCAGAGAGAGACCAGAGAGAGACCAGAGGGAGACCAGAGAGAGACCAGAGAGAGACCAGAGAGAGACCAGAGGGAGACCAGAGGGACACCACAGAGAGACAAGAGAGAGACCAGAGGGAGACCAGAGGGAGACCAGAGAGAGACCAGAGGGAGACCAGAGAGAGACCAGAGGGAGACCAGAGGGAGACCAGAGAGAGACCAGAGGGAGACCAGAGGGAGACCAGAGAGAGACCAGAGAGAGACCAGAGGAGACCAGAGAGAGACCAGAGGGAGACCAGAGGGAGACCAGAGAGAGACCAGAGAGAGACCAGAGGGAGACCAGAGAGAGACCAGAGGGAGACCAGAGGGAGACCAGAGAGAGACCAGAGAGAGACCAGAGGGAGACCAGAGAGAGACCAGAGAGAGACCAGAGAGAGACCAGAGGAGACCAGAGAGAGACCAGAGAGAGACCAGAGAGAGACCAGAGAGAGACCAGAGAGAGACCAGAGGAGACCAGAGAGAGACCAGAGAGAGACCAGAGGAGACCAGAGAGAGACCAGAGAGAGACCAGAGAGAGACCAGAGGGAGACCAGAGAGAGACCAGAGAGAGACCAGAGAGGGACCATGTGAGAGAGACCAGAGGGAGACCAGAGAGAGACCAGAGAGAGACCAGAGAGAGACCAGAGAGAGACCAGAGAGAGACCAGAGGGAGACCAGAGAGAGACCAGAGAGAGACCAGAGGGAGACCAGAGAGAGACCAGAGAGAGACC